TTTTATTTCTTTAAAATAGTGTCAAATCCTGCATTCGAGGATCGAGGAATAGTTGTAACTTTGATTAAATATTTGATTGGTCTTTGTAGTCGAAATATTTTTTAGTTTTAGTTTAGATTTTATTATTCTTTTCATAACTTTTTTTTTAACAGTTTCAAACCTTTGAGTATTTTCCGTTTGGTCCTTGTAGTCGCTCCATTAAGCAAACAAAACCAAGTCCCTATTAATCAACTAGTTATCGTGTCTGAAAAAAATAATACCGCCCTTCGTACCTAAGGGTTATTTTACCCTTCCTATTATTCACGGTTGGACCGAAAATAATACATTTACATTGAATCTGTACACACGTGTTAGTTCAACAGTCACGCTTGAACCTTTAAATATTTAAAACTTTACCTGTATTAGGGGATAATTTATTTTGATAAAGTTTTTTCAAAGATTGATAATAGAAAATCACTTAAAGTGGCACGTGCTGGTGGCTATAATAGTTACCAGACACGTGTCCAAGTGTGACAAACTCGTGGCCGTATTTATGCAGAGGCGTTCTTGGGTATTAGCCTCTATTAAACTGTTAATTTGGGTTTTTAGTGTAAGTGATAGGGCCTATTCGATGAACACTTGAGCGTATGGCACTAAAAATCTAAAAAAATAAAAAAACAAGATACGCTGGGTTTCCCAGCGAGTTGAAAATGTCCATTAGTAACTTTTAAATGGTAAAACAAAAAAATGTATAAGACATTGATAGATACTAATCTAGTGCATCACCTAAAATTATTTTTAACTATACAGCATGTCACAAAAATAAGTTACGATACAAATTTGTTTTTTTTAATGAAACACCGTATATTTTTTGGCATTTTTGGATGTAGCCCTTTAAAAGAATGTTTTTACGCTAAACTTTTATTAGTCGATTTTGCTTTGTTTTAGACGTTTTTTTTTGTAACGAAAACATTCACTTTTAAAAATTTATTACACAAAAACTAAGACAGCTAGAACAAATTTTTTCTTACTTCTGCAAAGAAGAAAGTACAGAAATTAAAACTGTAGCAATTTTTTAGTGTTTTGCATTTAT